TATCTGTTTACTTGTCTCATTGTCTATTCGTCTGGCTGAGTCAAAATTTTTGTACCTTGTTTATAGAAAATATGTGTTTATTACATTTTCGGAAATTTAAACTTCAAAATTTACGTCATTTTTCTGTATTTTTCCTCTCTCCACCATTCCCTTCCTTTCTTCCTCTCTCTCCCTCTCGTCTTTTCCGTCTTCCTCCGCGACTTCTTGCTCTGATTCCCTTTTTTCATTTTTTTCTCTATTCTTTTTCTCTCCCTATCTCTTCCCATTTTTATCCCGCCTCCATTCTTTCCTCCCATCTATATCCCTTCCTTCTCTTCCTCTCTTTTTTCTCCCTTATCACACTACATTTTCCCTTTGCTTCCACCCTTATCCTCTCCTCTCATCACATATGCTTCCTCCCTTCTCTCTCCCTCTTCCTTTACCCCATTTTCTCCCTCATCCTTTCCCCATTTTCTCCCTCATTCTTTCCCCATTTTCTCCTTCATCCTTTCCCCATTTTCTCCCTCATCCTTTCCCCATTTTCTCCCTCATATCCTTACCCTATTCCTCATTTCTCTATCCTTCCCTCCTCTCCCTCATCTCCTGACTCTCTCCCCAACCCTCCCTTCCTCTCCCCATCTCTCCCTCATCTCCCTCTCCCCATCTCTCCCTCACCTCCCTCCCCCCTCCCCCTATCTCTCTCTCATCTCCCGACCCCTCCCTCAGGCATGCGCATCTGCACCACCGGCTACGTGACGGGCATGCGCGGTAACGTGTTGGAGCCCCAGGGTATTGTGCATGACGACGTGGCTGTGGCAAATATGGAAATGGAATGTGACAATGGCAAGGAGGTCATCACAGGTGTCATGGCACAGAAGGTCAGTCTAATTTGAGGTCGTGTTAGGTCACTCGATGGCTGAAGGGAAGGATATGTTAGTTTAAAAGTCATATTAAGGTGTGTGAGATCGATATGTGATTTTTTTGGATGTTTACCTTGCATTAGTGGTTTTGAATACTTATATCAACAATATCTGTTTTTCGACATTTATAATTAGAATACTCTCTCTCTCTCTGGCTATCTCTCTCTCTCTCTCTCTCTCTCTCTCTCTCTCTCTCTCTCTCTCTCTCTCTCTCTCTCTCTCTCTCTCTCTCTCTCTCTCTCACTCTCTCTCTCTCTCTCTCTCGCGCGCGCTCCCCCCTCTCTCTCTCTCTCTCTTTCTCTCACTCCCTCTTCCCCTCCCTCTTTGCCTCTCTCTCTTTCTCCCTTTCCCTCTCTCCCTCTCCCCTCACTCCTCGCCTCCATCTGAAATTAGAATCCCCATAGATAACTAAATAATTCAATATAATTTCCACCCTTGCCCCCATCAGTTCACCCCCGGGACTTGGGGCGAGTGGGCGAAATGTGACAGCGGATCGGCAGTCTGTGGCATTCAGGTGAGACTTGAACACTTGTTCACGTGCATATCATGGC